TGCCCTTGGTGTTTACATCATAACACTTAACAATATAAAAAAACTGAAAAGTAAATAACAGAACTAGAATAACAGAATAACATAACAGATAGACTAGGTATATTCTACCCTACGGACAGAGTGGCCCCACAGCTGTGGGGCCCACATCAGTTTCTCTACAACCTTAACCGATAATGCCATGCGATTTGAGTTGGTTATATGGATTAGATACCTATCACTCCAACTTTTGGAATGTAAAGCATGTTATTATTTCAAAATACATAACTTAAATGAAAATAAATTATTTGTACCAACCTTATCTTCAAGGTCTATTTGATCTTTCTCCTCCACCAAACGATTTAAATTCTCTTCTGTTTTTTTGAAGGAAATTAGCATATTAGCTGCCCTTATTTTTTCCTCCCTTACAGTACGCCAACGCATTTCGATATTTGATAAGTCAGCTTTCATGAATTCTTTTTCTTCCCTAAGTCTCTCCACATCATTACTCAAGGTATCCCTGGTTCCCAATAGAAGATTAGGAGAAAAGAAAAATATTGCAAAAGTTAGATTAATGGTATGGAAATGCTAAAATTCTAGTAACAAGTAACAACTTGTGAGATATTTTATCAGTTCTTTTCATGCATATCGATTGAGCTTTTTTCTTTTTTTTTGATCAATAAATCAATTGAGCTTTCAAGAAGCAATAACACTAGAAAATTAGAAATAGAATGACACCAAAGGGAATATATTAATAGAGTTAGTAGTGAGGATGGTGTTGGAAATGTGACTTCACAGTGCTCTTTCAAAGCCAGATGGATCTTTATACATGATATATTCATTAATAAAAATGAGGCTTTTATTAATGAGGCATTCTTATTGCAATTGTATTTGCTTATGACAGGAGGGTCTTCAAGGGAATATAGGTGATAACTAGGACTTGTGACAGAAGATCTAAAAGACCCAATTCCTTATAGGCCTGAAATATCCCAACTATGGATTAGCATGGGCAGCTCGTTGATATGCTTAGCACATGGATGATTACCAAAAAATAATGTGGTGATATTGTAGCCATTGGAAAGAGACCCAGACTACCATTTGGGTGTATACTGGGATGCACAGTGATAAGATCTGGTTAAGTTGACTCATTGAAGGATTAATATCACTACCAATTACATGAATCACTCAAATCCAAAGCCTTTTTTGTCCTTGGACCTAAGGAACATGGGCTGCATGGGTGAGAATACTAAAGTGGCTAATTAGGGGTGCAACTTGGGCAGGCTCGAGTTAGGGAATTGTTAAAATTTGAATTGGCCCAGCCGAAAAGCCTGGGACTAATGCAATGTAATTCTGCAAATCAGGTAACCAACTCAGACTCCTATAGCTGACATACTCTGTATGTTGAGTCGATAGAGAGATTCTATGGCTTTGGGAATATCCAACAAGGATCCACACCCTCAGAGAAGAGGATAGTGTCACTACCAACGAGTTGACTTTGAACAAAGACACTTGCAAGGAGTCCTAGTTTGATGAGGACTCTAGCAGAAGAATCCTATAAGACTAAGACTCCTACATAATTCCCCAGGTAAGACTGAGATGATTATTATAAGACTCCTTGTTCAAATGGGACTCCTGGTAATAGTTGCACTACGACTCTAGTATTCTGATCCCAAATAACTATGAAATGAATATGAGAAGGGTCCTTGTGGCACTGTAGCTCTTAAGAATGATTCAACTCCTAGGGCTTGTCTTAAAGTGTCCTGATCAAACTAGGACACTCCATTTCACCCAAGTGGTCTTTTTCAATATTTTCTTTAAAAGAGTTTTGAAGCAAGTATCATATATAAATAATTATATTTGAAATATGATTTCAAACTCAATTTCTTATAGGTGTCCCAATGGTATTAGAACTTTATGGCTAAATCTCATGTGATGATCATTGGTTACTTCATTTACATGAAAGAGCCCATGTGATAATTTTGATCTGTTTGGGAAACCCAAATTGGATCTTACATCCCCTCTTTTCTCGATCAATAACAGAAATCAATATTATTAATAGGAAACAAAATTACATACAAGATTCTAGAGAGATAAAATGGCTTAACTCTCCCCCAAATGACTAAAAGGAAATTACAATATTGCCCAAAACAATTGATCCCTTCACATCCCCTGTTTTGCCAAGTTATCAGCGAAGGTATTTGCAGTTCTCTTCACCGAATGAACCTGAATTTCCACTCCCCTCATTAACCACTTGACCTCTCTCCTCTCATTAGCATAGATCCAAAACCCATTACCCTCCCTTACCCAATTTAACACTAGCCATGAGTCTCCTTCAATGATCAACATTTGAATGTTCAGCTCCTTTTCCTTCCTTAAGCCTACCAATAAAGCAAACAATTTAGCTCTAAGAGAGTCACCCAACCCGATGGGACCTGAGTACAATGCAATGCAACCACCTTCCCACTTCATCTCTGATTACTCCTCCAACACCTGATGTTCCTGGGTTGCCTTCACTACTCTCATCAAAGTTTAACTTCATAAACCCCGGGGGTGGAGGTGACCACAAAAGACGCACCACTGACTGAACCGGCACAAAGGATGCCACTTCATTCCAATTGTTCAGCAGCATACCCATGGAGACATCAGTAAACAAATCTAAAGTTTTCAGCCATTACATCACCCTGATTGTTATGATCTCAATCAGCTCTTGTTTCATTCTCAGAAAAGGTTCTTAGATTCCTTTCTTCCCACAAGGTCCAACAGAGGGCAGCTCTCACACATCTCCACATGAATTTACCCCTTTTCTTCGACCACCTAAAGAAAAAAGCAACAAACAAGCCTTGTATGCTTGGAGGAGGGAGCCACATGTAACCAAAAAGATCCATAAACCAAACCCAAATATCAGAACCGAAGGAGCAAGAAACTAATTAAGTGCTAAGGGCTTTCACCATTGGCCTTGCATAGGATGCACCGGTGTGGAGACAAGCACCTATTAGACCTTTTCCTTTGGAGTATATCACAAGTATTACATCTTTCCAAGAAGGCTTCCCAACAAAAAGCTCCAATCCTCGGAGGGATCGGTTTACCCAAAACTTCCTTCACTGGGAAATTCTGGAAGTTATTGTTAGCAGAATATACCAAAGACTTAAAGAAGGAAGCACAGGAAAAGATACCAGAAGGGGTCAAAGTCCAAATCCTATTATCCCTTTTTGAAGGGTCCAAAACCACCCCATTCAAAATCTGAACTAACTCCAAAGCATTCTCAATTTCTGAGTCCCTAAGGCCTCTTCTAAAACCCAAATCCCAGTCAAAACCAAAGGTGAACTCAGAAGGGATCGGAAAAGAAGACACAGGTTCCCCTTTAAACCAAGAGAGGGAAAATAAGGAAGGAAATTTATCTTTTAAAGGAACTTCTCCCACCCAAAGGTTTTCCCAAAACCTCACCTGGTTTCCAGAACAAAGATCATACCTGATGTGCTGCAAAAGGGAAGGGAGAATGGCATGTATGGATCTCCAAGGAGAGGCTCTATTAGTCCTTGCCACCAGTCCAGAGTCCCACCCATCGCCAGCAAGCCCATGTATACTCAGTATCACTTTAGCCCGCAACTTGTCTCTTTCATCTGCTAACCTCAATATCCACTTTCCCAATAGAGCTTCATTTCTCTTCTGAATGTTACCTAGTCCCAAGCCTCCTTCCTCCCTACCTCTAGAAACTATCTCCCACTTCACCCTACGGTCTTTCCTGTCCTCCCCCGACTCCCACAAGAAGCCTCTCATTCCCCTTAGATGTCTACTTCTCTACATATATGATATTTAGAGATCTTAAAAAGTGTACCTTACACATGCAATTCAATATACACATGCTAGTACCTTATAGATCCAACTTAGAGTGCTAAAACAATAGTAGACAAGGGAGAAGTGTGATTTCAACTACAGGAATCGATTTGGCTTGTTGGACCATACATGCTTGAGGAGTTTTCTTACCTAATATTCTACAGACCATGTGGAATCATGAAAAGCATTCATGAAATCAATTTGGCTCTATGGTTTCTTAAGGACTCAGATAAGTTGTGGCATGCAATCATGAAAAACATTTACTGGGTATTTAACACCCATCCGAATTTGCATGCAAGAGTAACATTGCCCTCTCCTCGGAAATTTATCATTTCATTACTTTTGAAGTTTCTCAGGTATGATGTCCTTTCTAGGAGTATAACAAAAAAATTGGTTTGACCTGTGGTGGGGTGATTTACCTCTAAAAGATAGGTTTTCAACTTTTTTTCTCTCTCTTCTTAGAAAGATTGTATTGTTTCCTATTGTTTTTATACTTCTCAATTTAGAATAGCTTGGGACTTAGGTTTGACAAGGGAGCTCAGAGAACCCGAAACTCAAGAGGCCATCAACAATTGTACCATTCTAGGAGGTATCCTAGATTCCTAGTTACATGGAGAAGCAATAAAGTCATGCAAAAGCACAAACAATGGCCATACTATTCATTAACTACTTTAGCTAAAACATCTACTTTAGAAGATTGGCAGACAAATTGCAATTTCTACCCCCTATTTGTAACAATCAAGTTGGTATCCATATTTCTTCTAATCTAATTTCCCACAGGTGAACAAAGAACATTGAGGTAGATTATCATTTCATGAGGATTATATTTGTAATAAGCTGGTGTCACAAATATAATTGTATGTGAAGTCTAAAGGCAATTAGTTAATTTGTTTACCAAAAGCTTAGGTTGGGTTAGGAAGGATAATATTTGTGACAAGTTGAAGTTGCTGATATATATGCTCTAGCTTGAGCAGAAGTGCAGTAGTAGTACTAGTATTTTATGTATTAGAGTAGGTAGCTAGGCAGTTTTGACCTACTCCATAATTACTATAAAGGGCAGTACGGTCATTTCATTAAATTTGACTCATATTGGAAATCTCATGATTTAAAATGTCCATTTAATGTTTCCACAAATAACTTCCATTACCATGGGTAGTGAAATTAAATTTTACTAGAGTCAACATATTCCCCAGTGAACACTACCAACACAATATGGAATACAAGAGATGGTATTTATAACATAAGCTGGTGACAATATCGTAGACATGTGGAGTAGCAATATTGTTGCCCGCCTAATGTACATGATTACTGTTGAGGATTTTGATGTTAATAGTTTATTTCCATATTTATTTTGTTTAGTTAGCATGTTGCGACCACAATCTATCAGTTAGAAGTTACTTAAGCAGTAGCTCTTGTCTCTTTTTTTAAGTTGTAAGCACCAGCCGCCCATAAGGGCATTTATGTCCTTGTACTTATTTTTCACTTAAAGTATAAAAGCTAATGGGAGAGGACAGCCAGCATTATTGGTTTCTCTTTCTTTTCTCCATTCTTTCTCTTCTTATTTTCTTTTTCTCACAAATTCTTCCTTTCTTTCTTCTCTTTCTGCAATCCTACATATATTTCTGCTGATTTCTACTACTTTGAGCCAGCTCAATGTTCATTTCAAACATAAAGTAACATGTTAGTTTTTGTTTGTGTAATAGATTATTTGGTTGATCTATTTGAATTATTTGCATTTTCTGAGTAAATTTTGCTTGAACTCATTCTATAATGTAATTTTGAATCTTAAGGTTTATAGGACAACTTCACAATGTATCATTTTGTCTATAACCTTAGCTTCTTAGTGTTGTTTAATGACTTTGGAACAAGATAATAATTTATAAAGGTATGTCTATGTTTCTTTTACCATTTCATAAAACATCATTCTATATTTTTGCAAATTTTACAATGTTTCCACCATGTCTATGGTTTTTACAATATTTCCATCTGATAGTTCCAACATTTTTTACATGATTCCTATATTTGGCCAACCAATATTTCCACTAACAGTGACATTTTAAACCTAGAGACATATAAGCTATGGATAGATAGAACTTAGAATATTTTTCTCTCCATGGCAGGCCATGGTTGATATTATCAATATGATACTTCTAGGGATATTTTATTCCTTTAAATGAGCTATTTTTCAACATTTTCATTATTCAAAAACCTGAGTTAAGGTTGGAAAAATATGCATTCCTTTACAATAAGAATGTGATTAGTAACCTAAAGAGAATAAACTCAGTTTTAAAATATCTGAAGCTTTGCAAAGAAGTTATATACTTCCTGCTCTGCAAGGCGTTTAGCTGCAACTGAATTTCCTCAGAAGATTTGACACCATGTCCCTGAGCATCCAGTGTGTACTCTAGTTCATCAACTTGCTTTTGCAAAACCAGGATACCATTAAATAGTGTATCAGCAGTGTCAATAGGTTGAACTAATGCTTCCACCATGTCCTTCTCAGCTTTTGTATGAGCCAAGACACCAACAACCTGCAAGAAAGCACCTTGTCAAAAAAGTTGCAATCAAACAAGAAAAGTGCACATTGAAGAAATCATGCCTAGTAGGACAATAATAAGCAGATATTTATCCCTGTATTGTCAGACCTGGAAAAGACCAGAATGTCAAAACTGCAAACTAGCATCAGAATGATTTATAGGCTGCTCGGTTCTTAGAAATGTTGGTTTGATCAAACCAACATTGAATACATGAGTTAACACCTATTACAACCTAAAATATTTAATCAGGGATGTTGCAGAACATTGACAGATTGCTCCACAACCGTTTCCCTAATAAGGCTAAATTTCTCTTCCTTATGTTCCCAATGCCAAGGCCTCCATCCTTCTTACTCCTACACACCACCTCCCACCCAACCCTATGGTACTTTTTCTCCTCCCCTAGTTCCGAAAGGAAATCTCTCATTAACTTTTCCAGCTTACTATCCACCCTAGCCAAGATTTTAAAAACCAATAAAAAGTAAACAGGCAGGTTAGCTAAGTCAGACCTAACTAGGGTGATTCTCCATCCAAGAGAGAGATAATTTTTCTTTCATGAGGCAAGTCTCTTCTCAAACCTCTCCAAAACTGGAGTCCAAAATCCCCCCTCTCTGTGGATTATCTCCTAAAGGTAGACCAAGGTAATTTAGAGGCTAATTAGACATTGAACACTCCATTATCTGTCCCTCCCCCAGATTTACTCCTACTATACAAATTTCTCAAAATTTACTTTAAGATTTGACATTTGCTCAAAAAGTTGTATAGTGAGATCCCCTCCATAGAAAAGTATCATATCATCTGCAAACTGCAAGTAAGTTGTATGTTCTCCCTCCAAACTCTCCACCTCCTGATTAAGTTCCTGGAATCTACTCTAGAGATTATTCTCCCTAACACTTCTGCAACCAAGGTAAATAGAAAAGGAGAAAGGGGTCTCCTTGTCTGATTCCTCTCAATGCTAGGAAGAAATCCACCACTATTCCATTGACCAAAATAGAGTAGTGGCAAGTCCTAATGCATCCCATCACCCACCTGCACCATTTGTCTCCAAACCCAAAGTTGATCATCACCTTCAGTAGGATGGGCCAATCAACCAAATCATAGGCCTTTTCCAAATCCAATTTGCAACCCACACCTTTTTCTTTTATCTCTTGAAATCCTCAATGCTCTCATTTGCTATAAGTATTTGATCTGTTATTTGCCTCCCCCACACAAAGGCTCCTTGTTTATTTGCTACGATGATAGGGATCACCTTCCTAATCCTAAGGGACAACACCTTTGCAATAATCCTGTACAAACTATTTACTAGGCTGATTGGTATAGACCCTTAGATGGCTTGCTTCTTTTTTCTTGGGAACCAAGGCTATGAGAGTGGAATTCAAACCTGGGTTGATCACTCCTCTGTTATGAAATTCATCAAGCACCATCATTAGGTCCTCTTTCAGTATCTCCTAGCAGCCTTGATAAATGCCATTGTAGATCCATCTGGGCCTGGTGCCTTTGACCTATCCATAGAAAACAATGCCTCCACCTCTTCCAGGTCAAATTTCCTCTCCAACCACTCCCTATCCTCTAAACTCAAGAATGGCCTATCCAACTCCTCAAGCCACACCTTATTATTTATGGGTCTTCTAAAAATAGATCTAAAATGATCAACAAATGCTCCAGCAATCTCACTTTGAATGGATAATGTTACCCCTTCAATTTCCAGGCTTGAGATAAAATTTTTTCTCCTTCTTCCATTTGCCACAACATAAAAGAATTTAGTATTCCTATCCTCCTCTTTCAACCACTTACATCATGATTTTTGCCTCCAATTTATATTCCCTTTGAGTAGACAATCCTCTAACTATTTCCGCAATCTCCATCTTTGTTCTTTATCATCCTTTGTAAGGGATCCACTCCCTTCCTTCAAGTCCAGGTCTTCAATTTGTGTAGTCACAGATTGCTACCTTTCCTCTAGCCTCCCAAACTCAAGGAGATTTCATTCCTTAATTCTATCTTTCAGATATTGGAGCTTCTTGTGAAACCTCATTCCACTCCAATCAACAGAAGGATTATTCTCTAACCATGATTCTTTAACTTTCCTAATAAATCGTGGGTCGCCTAACCACGTGTTTTCAAACCGGAATGGGGTTGGTCCTGCATTTCCCAACTCTTCCTTACAGATCACAATAGGCTAATGATCAGAGGTCACGCTGGGAAGGGCTCTCGATGTCAAGCTCCCCCCAATGCTCTTCCCAATCATTTGAAAAGAGAAATCTGTCAAGCTTAGAGCATATAGGATTCACTTGGAAATTGGACCAAGTAAAGCTGCTATGTGACAATGAGATCTCTTTTAGCTCTAAGACATCCACAAATTGGTTAAATTTCCCCATGCTTGTAGCCACCCTTTGCCTAGGATTATTTGTTTCTTCTGAACCTTCCCACAGTCCCCTGATATCACCCAATTATTCCCATAATTTTCCCCTCTCTCTATAGTCATTTGGCCCATAAACTGAGTGAAAACAAAAGAAAAATAAAGGGAAGAATTATAAAAATCGAAGGGTAAAAACTGACTGAAATAAAGAAAGAACGAAAGAAGAAGAAGAAATACATACTTGTTCAATTGAGTATTGAGGTCGGATTCTCAATTCTCTGTACAGCAAGTATTGGACGAACTGGAGTTTGGATGAACGGGTGAACAGACATTGCTTGCTTTGGACTTGGACATTGTGCAGTGGCCCGGTAAGGAGGTGGCTAATATCTATAGGAAGTTGGAGGAAAGGAACAGAATTTTTCAACTTTTTGTTAGGTTGAATCCAAAATATGACATTACCAAACAGCATATCTGTCTCACAACTACACTACTCTATCTTAGGCCTATTCTTTGGTGCATAGTGAAGAGAGTAGGACGGTCATGTTATAGACAACAGTAGTCTAACCAGGTTCCCAGTCTACGGTGAATTGAGTGGATGATAAGGAGCTTATCTATGATTATTGCAAAAAACCCAAGCACACACAGGATTCTTACTAGAAGCTACATCCTAATACCAAACCAGTTAGGTTCAAAGGGAATAATATTAATAGTAAGGAGAACGCAAATGTGGCTACCACAACTAGTGCAGAGGAACAATCATCTAGACCATCTAGTCCACCCTCACATCACTTTGAGACTCTTGCAGCTGCCATGGCTGAATTTGAAAGAATCTGGCAAGTTGTAAACTCATCTAGAGAGTAAGTACTATTAGGGGTACATCTGGAGGTGAGGGAAGCAGCACTATGGCAATTGCCCATATGGATACTTGTGCCAGTACCAACCATGCATCTGTTTCAACTTTCAAATAACCAAGGTATTCTATGGATTATAGATTCAGATGCTTCTGATTACATGAATAGTATTTCATTTCTTTTTCATTCCCACTCTTTATGTTTTAATAAAGACAGTATCTATTACTGATGATTCCCTAGCCCCTATTTCTAGCAAGGGCAATATTAAGGTTACAGATAGTTTGACCCTATCTTTTGTGTGCCATGTTCCTAAATTGAATACTAATTTTTGGTCGGTTAGTAGTCTTACCAAATCTCTAAACTTCTCCGTGACCAATTTCCCTCAGGGTTGTGTTTTTCAAGATCTGGAGTCTAAGAGGACGATTGAGAGTGACCATGAAGCTAGGACTGTCAATGGATCATTTCTGGTTTGGGACAGGGTGTACCAGTCCCATTCCAACTATTAATCAGGATAATATGGACACAAAAACAAACCAATTATTAATTGGGACAATCAGGTCTGACTCAATTAAACCCAATTATTCATGGCACCTACAATTATCAATGACAATAACAACTTAATACTTCATTTCGATAATATAACCTTAACTGAAACTAAAATACTTCAAATATGTATTTTTAACCATAATTATCTTATGTATTGACATTGTTTATGAAGTTTACTCTTTTAGATATAAAATATAACAAATTACAAAAAACAATGGATATTTATAATATTATAAACTATATAATTGGTCAAGAACCGATCTCAACCTAATAATTAATTGGAACAAAATCATTGAACCAGAACAGATATAATTGGTTCAGTTGGTTCGGTTCCATCGGGTAGATCCAACCCATTGACAGCTCGTCATGAAATGAACGAGATCTATATTCTAGATGCTTTTTTCTGGAAGACTTTTGGTTGCAGTAATTACACATTAGAGCCAGTTAATAAAATTCTTTTTTTGCATGTCTGTTTGGGTCATTCGTCATTCAGTTCATTTGATTCATTTGTTCACTTCAATCCGAATGTCAAGCTTACAATGTAAAAGTTGTCAATTTGCTAAACATCATAGAAACTCATTTATTTAAAATAAAACAACAGACTTGCTTTGCCTTTTGAGGTGGTTCATTCTGATGTGTGGGGACCTTATCATGTGCCTAGTATGGCTGGACATAAATGCTTCTTACTCTTTGCTGATGATTTATTCACCTTATATGGGTGTATTTAATGAAATCTAGGATGAAGTCCCTTTATTGATGAAAAGATTCCGTCAGATGATATATACTCAACTTGACACTCGGATTAAGATATTTCCTCCAAATAATGCTAAGGAATATCTCAAGAAGAGTTTATCCACTTATTTATCAAAACACAAGATTATTCACCAGACTTCATGTCCTTATACAACTCAGCAAAATGGGATGGCAAAGAAAAATATAAGACATTTTGGAGTGGCAGGGAGCATATATTTAGTAGTAATGTTCTAATTCATTTTTGGGGGGATGTTCTTACTTTTGTTTATCTCATTAATAGCATGCCTTCTCATATTCTTGATTGTAAGACTTTTTCAGTTGTATCCTAATGAACAGTAGGAGTGGCAATTGGGTGGGTTGGATTTGGGTTGAGTTTTTGTTTCAAGATAAATAAAGAATAAGAATCATTAGATGAAAAAAGGTACAAGGTAATGGGTGATGAAGCATCACCCAAAATACAAAGCAAATGAAAGGAACAAACAATACAAACA